ACACACACACGCGCACACGTGCACACACACACACACACACACACACACACTGCAAAATAATTATCCCAGTTTAAGCTGTTCAACTATCTCCCCTAGTTCCTTTGACTGTATGTGGTAAAAATACATGAGAATTATTTTTTAACCAACTTTAACTATGCAATACACGATGACTAACTGGAGCCTCATGCTGTAAACCAGTGTATAACTTTCCCGTGCCTAGAACCTGGTAGCCACCTCTATTTTGGAATTTAGCTTTTTTGTCTTCCCCATATAAGTGAGAGGGTGCATTGTTTGTCTTTCTCTGCCTGTCTTTCCTCACTTAGCCTGATTATCCTCCAAGTTCATCTATTATATGCTAATTTAATATGTAAGGCCAAAAGATTATCTCCCAGTAACTTTGATGAAAATTGGTTTTTAGGTTTTGGGGTTTTTTGGGGGTGTTGGGAAGTGAACTGAAGACCTTGCATACACTATGCACAGGCTTTCCCCGTGCCTGATGTGGACCGTCATAGCTTCTGGTTATTCAAACCACACAGAAATTTGAGTGAAGTGTGCCCAGTTCAATTGCGAATTAGCTGCTCCTAACCCAAAGGGGAAGTTGGAGGGCTTAGAGGCAGGCGTGAACACACTTTGCTCCCCGTTCTCTGGGCAATGATTTCATCTTGTCTGTCAGGAGTGTGGTTCAGGAGCCAAAGAAACTGTTCACTGTCCTTTTAACTGGAACGCAGACCAGATGCTTGAGATCCTCCAGAAGTGTATGTTCCAGGCAAGGCTGTTTCTCTCCTCTCTGGAGACCCTACCTGCTCTCAAGAAGCACACTCAGACTAGCCTTAGTGGAAAACCAAGGAAGACAGTGCTGCCCAAGATCACACTCTCTGTCACTCCAGTGAGCTTTTCTAAGTCTCAGGCCAGCAGAGACTTGGCTTCTCTGGGGCCCATGGTCTTAAAGAGGGGACAGAGCTTACCAGTGACACCTCTGTCAAATCTAGACCACTTGAAACTGTTCACCAAGGGTTCTCTCTCTCTTTCCTTCCCAATTAGAATTGGATAAAGTTGAATGGGGTGGGGGTTGGCATGAGCATTTCAGAAAGGTTCTACAGAATTCTCTGAGCACGACCTCTGGGACTGACACCTGCAGGGAGGAGGTGAGCTAGTCCAGCCTCACGAGCTACTGCATCCTTACTTGCTTTAGAGATAGACACTTCCAAGCACACGTGAGAAACTGGTGCAGTGTGAAGGAAAACACTGAGATAAGCAAATGGCTCGTTCCTCCTGTTAGTCATTTATGCTTACTGTTAATATTTCTGTACATCTCTCTCCCGCATGTGACCACCGATCACGGAACTGTAAGTGGGATGCTATTCAAAATCACAGTATTACACACGGCCTTAATAGCTGTATACATTGCTTTTGTTGATAGCAAGGGGCTCAAGAGTTGAAGACTCTTTTATCACAGGCAGCAATTACTAGAGAAATGAACGATAATCACAGACCAAGGCTGTCCCTGCTCTCTCCCTGACCCAGACCCCGCCTGCGATGAGCTTCTATTAAACTCAGTGTGAACTGCACAGCCTAGCAGTTAATTTTTTCTCTAGATTTCTTCCATATTCTTTACTCCTGCTTACTTTCTAAGCTTTAAGATTTTGCAAGGCAACAATTACATCTTCTTTTTCTTTGCCTCAGGTGTTAATCGAGATTTATCAATGTTCAAAAAGTAGTAATTTAATGCACTTGAGGCATGTTTTGTAGAAATAAACTGGGATGTGAAGCTGTGACACAATCGATGCTTTCTTATATAAGGTGAGAGGAGCTGCTACGTGAAAAGGTGGTCACGCCTGTCTGAGTCCCATCTGCATATAGCACAATAAGAATATAGGGAGTCAAGACTTCACTGGCAAAATTATCTTCACCAGAAACTATGCCTGACTACCAAGAATTTTCTGTTTTCAAAATATAATGATGTGATGAAATTTTTAGGAGCTATATTAGCTTCGCGGGAGTCTGTAACGAAGCTCACAAACAGAGCAGCTTACAGCAACAGAAAGGTATTTTCTCATAGCTCTGGAAGTGGTAAGTCTGAGATGAGCAATCTGGAATCGTCTCTTCTGGATTCTGAAGTGTGCTGTCATCTGTGGTGTTCCTTGATTTGTGTTGGCAGAATGCGAATCTCTGCCTCACCTGGAGCTCTCTGTGGGTCTCTGCTCCTGCTCTTAGATGAAGAGCCCAGCCTACTCCCCGTATCCTCATCTGAACTAATTACATCTGCAAATAACGTGGTTTCTTTTTTTTTTTTTAACCTTTTGTGTACTGGAGAGTAGGACTTTTATGTATCATTTTCGGAGCAACAATTATAAGGATGTTGAAGCCAGGTACAAGTGGTTCACACCAGGAGGCTGACATCTGAAGATCACGGTTCCAAGCCAGTCCAGGAAAAGCCCATGAGACTCTTATCTCCAATTAATCACCAAAAAGCTAGAAATGGAGATTTGGCTTACATAGTAGAACACCAGCCTTGAGTGAAAAAGCCAAGAGAGAGTACAGACCCTGAGTTCAAGCACTAACAGGAGCATCGGATGACTAAATGAATAAACAGGGTATTGAAGAAAAAAACTCCAATACATTTCTTTTCTTTTCTTTTTTGTCAGTCATGGGGCTTGAACTCTGGGCCCGAGCACTGTCCCTCAGCTCTTCAGCTTAAGGTTTAGCACTCTACCAGTTGAGCCACAGTGCCACTTCCAGTTTTCTGGTAGTTTATTGGAGATAAGAGTTTCATGGCTTTTCCTGCCTGGGCTGGCTTTGAACCATGATCCTCAGATCTCAGCCTCCTGAGTAGCTAGGATTACAGGCGTGAGCCACCAGCTCAATACATTTCTTATGGAAATTGTTCCTATTTTAAGTCACTTGGGTTCTTGCCTTGCTCAGTAAGTCCTATTAACCCAAGTGTAAATAAGTCTCATAATTTGTAAACTGCACAATAACCCAAACAGACAAAACAAGTATGTACTCCTCATGTGATTGAAAATCATGCAACACAGGAGTATCTGCCACAGTGCGATATCACTGAACTTCTGGGAAGCCCACTGGATCAGAAGAGAAGCATTAAACTTTACACTAAGGGTCTTGGAGTCTCTTTCACTATTCTCTATTATTTTACGATGTTAAACCAACTAAAGCACACAAGCTCACAGGTCTGTGTGGAGGAATGCTATACATTCATCAGCAGAGAAAACGTCCTACACACAGATGGGAAGAAGAGGGAGAAAGCGCTCATCTGGTTCTTTAATCATAAGCTGAAGGATGGTACCAGAGATCCCAGTGTTAGAGTCACTTAAAGTCACATATTCGGTGTACATATGTGAACGTGGAGCTAGGTAAATTGAGGGGATGGGTGAGGTCGAGAGAGATGAGGGATGATGAAAGGGATAACATTGATCAAGAGGCATGGTACTCATGAACTGACATGTTGAATCAGACTCCCTTTGTTCAACTACTTGAAGACAGACAGACAGACAGACAGATCCTTTTAAGCGCTATCTCAGGCCTCAGTCACCTTGTTGCAGCTGAGTCACATGAGACATCTCTCTTCTGCAATGGAGAAAGCGGATGTCATGCAATGGAGTCGTTTACTTTGTGAGTCACTAGAGGCCAGACTCTATACCAGTCTCCCAGGCTGGCCTATATCCTCTGTCCATGAGGGATTCTCCTGGGAAACTGCCTTAGGGATCTTGAGTTCAAGTTCCTGGCATCATCTGTTAGTGGCCATGTGCACAGGTGGGCAGCAAGCAAGCCTTTTCTTCCAAATTAACGCAAACGCCATCTTTAGTTTTAATGTGACCCACTGCAAATTCTGAGTTGGGGGCTGGGGGGGGTCTAAATGAATGATGAATGAAGTTCGTTCTGCTGCTGGAAGTGATCTGATGATCTGACTCTTGTGACCTTGCCAGAGTGGAGTGAGCATTTCAGAAAGGAGGGTGAGGCTGGGCTTATTACTTGAAGATAATGTCTTTCATAAAAGATGCAGAATCCAACTGTTTAGGAGGATGTCTATCTCTCTCTATTTCCCACACAGCTGGTTAGAAATGAAGTCCCTCACTCTATTACTCTAATTGAATTCCAACTTGGGTAATTACACTATAATTAAATAAATTCTCCCCATAGTTTTAATTCCCTGACAAATAGTCCTATTCAAACAGCTCCACTTCATCCCCAGAAACACATCCCACTACATTTCAGTGGTAAGTGGAATGATTTATATTTGGAGGATGTGTGTATGAAAAAACTTCACAGTTCATAAAATATTTTAGGTAGCACTCATGATTACATATGCTTTGCTCAGCATGAGATAACATTAATTTCTATTATAATCTTTCATCTGATTTCTCATATGCCTAGTGCCAAAGGAAATAAGACAGTTAATTAGCATTTCTGTGTTCAGAACAATTTTGGGTGAGTTAACCAGTGGCTTGTATCTACTTACTTTTTTTTTTTAATTCAAAAGCACATTTCATTATCATGGGCGGGGGGGGGGGATGCCTGATTGGGGGTGGGGGAATTATTGCTTCCCATTTTACAGATGAACCATGGAGGAACCAGAAACTCCAGAGGAGCCAGCTACAGACAAACCTAGCCTCGAAGCCTAGCTTGTCCTGGTCCCCGGGCCCATGTTCTTTCTGTGCAGCACTACCAAACACTGGGTCAACCAGCACTAATGAGAACATAAAGACCAGCATGTGTGCGCCCTGTGTCACAGGTCATTAATTCATAATAACTTATAATTTAGTCAGGGTTGGAGGCCTGATAATTGGGAGCTGATGTTGTCCTTCGCCGCCACGCATATGTCTGTGTGCTGGTTCCTGGTACCACTTTGCTGCAACACCTGCTTAAATGTGATTCAGGGTGCCAAGGAGGATTCAAATTTCAATTTTTATTCTAATGGCCTTCCTTAAAGGGTGTAGATGGCTTTTAATAAGAGATATTAAAGGCAACATCAAAATACTCACAAAAAGCAGCAGTAGCAAGGGTGTTACAACGATGCCCTGAAAGAAATAAAAGAGATAATGATCATTTATTGGCCTGGGAAGCAGGAGATGCTCTTTCACATTTAAAACTCGGATGCAGGCTGTTATTCTCACTTCTGCTTAAGGAAATCTAGGTGATAAAGAAGAAGGAGCTGGGCCCCCTGCCATCCTCCGCTAGCATCTCCACCAAGACTATTTGTATGTGGATCATTAAACACACAGCCACCCATCTTCCTTAACTTGTCTTTCCTCTTTTGAAGTTAAGTCCCCTCCCACACTGCACAGGTAGTATACAGAGAGAAGCCGGTGGCTGGTAAGGGTCCTCACTCCAAGGCCTTCAACTCTAACTTGGATAAAGTGCCCCTTTTTGAGGGAAGACAGGTGGTTTGGTCTCCGTTGGGGCCCTCTCCTGAGCAAAGACCATGTCAGTTGTGATGAATGAGATGTCGTGATTTTGCAATGCGACCTGACCTCCCCTAGGAAATGAGCTGGGATCTCAAAACTCATTTCACTTGATTAGACTCCGAGTCTCCATGGTGGAAGAAAAGTCTTTCATCTAATTCCGCCACACAGGACCACCACGGTCCCTCTGCCTCCCCCAGGCAGAAAGGAGCAAAAGATTTGTTTTCTTCAATGACAGGGAACCGTTTGAGGCTGGTGCCAATGAGGCAGAATACAAGCTTTTAGGTTTCATGAAGGTAAATCTTTAAAACCATGTGTTGGAGCTGGGAGTTAACGTGACGGGTTTCAGTTTAGAGCGCCAAAGGATTATTTGTCTCTCTTAATTTTCTCTCACACTCATAGCAATTCATAGTTTTGTTAACAAATTCTACTTGGAACTTTAAATTTCTCAGAATCTGCGTGAGTGTGTGCGTGTGGGGGGGGGGAGGGAGAGAGAGAGAGAGAGAGAGACAGACAGACAGACAGACAGAAACAGAGAACCACTGTATTACTTCTCAAAAGCAGTCCTTTAAGCCAATTGCCAGTGATTCATGCCTAAAACCACAGCTACTCAGAGGCTGAGATCTGAGAATCACGGTCCAAAGCCAGGCCAGGTAGAAAAGTTTGTAAGACTCTTATGTCCAATTAACCACCAAAACAAAACTGGAAGTGGAGCTGTGGCTCAACTATTAGAGTGCTAGCCTTGAGAAAACAAAAACCCCAAATAAAAAACTCAGGGATGAGTTTAAGCCCGAAGACTTTGTGTGAACACTGAAGTCATGACGAATGGGACTAAAAGTATTTGGGACTTAGGTAAATACATGTAGTTATCTTTTTACACATTTGCTTTATGCAAACTTCTGCATTTGGCAAAAAGAGAATACACCATTTGAAATTAAGGGTCATACTTTACCTCTACGTATTAGAACATGTATGTGGAGTATCAATTCCATTTCTGTCTATGGAACAGGTTGTTAGTAGCACATTTCAAAGAGCTAGAGTATACCAAATGCCAATATCGTTTTTAACTTCGAATGGTTACTGCCTCAGATGGAGATATAGCTCAGTGGTCGAGTTCTTGCTTAGAATGTACAAGGTCTCTCTGTGACTTGGAATATGTTCTGACTTTAGGAGGAATTGAAGCTTTACAAAGTTAGGTAGAAATGAAGATCTGGCTGTTGACATGGGAGCCATTTCACTTCAAATCAGAACATTTGTTTTCAAACACTTCTTTTGTTTTCCTTGTGCTAGTCTTGGGGCTTGAACTTAGGGCCTGGGCACTGTCCTTGAGCTTTTTTGCTTAAGATTAGTGCTCTATCAGTTGAGTCACAGCTCTACTTCCAGTGTTCTGAGGGTTAATTGAAGATGAGAATCTCACAGTTTCCTACCTAGGTTGGCTGTGAACCATGATCCTCAGATCACAATCTCTAGTCTCGAAGATTACAGATGTGAGCCATAGCGCTTGGCTCACTATGCCTTTTATGACATGAAACAAACTGAGAAATAAATCATCATGTGATGTGGATGTTTTTTAAGTCGTTTTTGCAAATATCCAAACTAAAAAAGGGTGAACTGAGAACTTAAAATTCTGACAGCAAAAAACATTGAAGCTGAAAAGTCAGATAATAAATGTTATTTTTTTCTTGGATTTGTAAGTGTCTCAAGTCACAAAGTAATGGCGTTCATTGTCTCCTGAAAAAAAAAAAAACTTTCAGAAAATCCATTTACACCTCTGACAGAATGAATACATTCCAGTGTTACATCTGAGACACTGAGATGTAGCTGCATTAAAGCACAAACCCACCAGAAATCCCAATAAAATGAATTTCAGCAATGAATAAAATGAATTCTCCGCATAGGATTGGGGGGTGAGGGAGGCAACATTGGAGTATACTCCTGATTCTGTTTTTGGCAGAAAACATTATCGGGAGATTTCACTGCAATGACCATGGTGATCAGATACTTAACCTCAGAGCCCATTCCCAGGCTATTGCTTTTACTCACTTTTTAAAAATATGTATTTGTATTGTAAGGTGATGCACAGAGTAGGTTACGGTTACATAAATAAGGAAATGAGTACAACTCTTGTCAAACACTGCTACCCCTCCCTCATTTTCTCCCACTTTCCCTCCCCTCCAAGTCGTAAAGCTCATTTCCATCACAGTGTCTTGTGAGTGAGTATGGCTGCTGCATTGGTTCACCCTCTGTCCTGTCTCACCATTTTTGATTCCCCACATCAGATAAATTTATATATAAGACAAAGGGTACCAAGATAAAAGAAACAGTGACCATTACCTCGGTTTTCACAGGATGACAGGGTAGCTTTGTGGGGGAGGGAGGGGCATTGCCCCTCCTCTGAAGTGAGACTCTCTTATCCTCACTGGTGAGCCCCGCGGCCAGGAATCCTCCAGATAGCAAATTCTCTTTCTATTGAGGCAAACCGGGGCCTGACAGCAAGTCACTCTTACTTTCTTACAAGGACCTCAAACCTCTAAGATTGCTGCCTTGTCTTCCTGTCTTTTTACTGAGCTCTTGTACAGTGTAAATAAAAACTTGGCCTCCGCAGCTGTATCTTCTAGATATCCTTTAAGAACACATCCAGCAGGCCCAAAGTCCTCAGTTCTTCCCCCTCAGGCCCTCTTAGGGAAGAGAAAGGAGAGGCCTGTGTGTTCTTTCAGCAGCATCCTGGAGCACTGCCTAAAGGATTGCTTAGCTACCTAAAGGGCTATTCTTTTCTTTAGTGTCTACTTATTATTGGCTAAGCAATAGGCTATACAATTTCACGTTAGCATATGGAAATGATTTATTTAGTAGGAAACATGGCCACCAAGACCACGGTTTTATTAACCCATAATAGAAAAAAATAACAACCTACTTTCTAAATGAAACTAGAATCTCTAGACAAAACTAGAGTTTCATCTCTAATGTAGCAAATGTACTCAATATGCTTTTCTGATGGCCTGTCTCACCTTCATATCTACAATCTCCTCAGAACCAACTTTACTATCCTGCAGACTCCTTCATTACTCATTTAAACAAATGTTTGGCATGGATTCATTTTATGTATGCTTTTAACTTTTTGAAAATTAAGCTCTGACCTTTTTCCTCTGAGCCTTGTACTTATGCCAATATAAAGATTATTTTACATTTTTTATGACAAATAAAATTCCCCGATCCTGCCAGGGTTTTTGCCTTTTGTCCTGTGTCTAGCATACAGTGAGCCCTTAAAAAGTTAGAGAAAGTTTATTCTTCAATAATAAAAGTATGGCTAACAAAATGAAATTATGTCAAACCAGTATGTAATGATGGGTTTGATTTTTAAAAATCCTAGGCAGCTGGGCACTAGTGGCTCATGCCTGTCATCCTAGCAACTCAGGAGGCTGAGATCTGAGGATCATGGTTCAAAGCCAGCCTGGGCGTCAAGGTCTGTGAGACTCTTATCTCCAATAAGCCACCAGAAAACCAGAAGTGGTACTGTGGTTCAAGTGGTAGAGTGCTAGCTTTGAGCTGAAGAGCTGAGGGACAGTGCTTAGGCCCAGAGTTCAAGCCACCACGACCAACAAAAAAAAAAGGTAGTATGAGGGAGTTTTAGAGACACTTAACATTAAACAAAATAGTCAACAGAGAATGTAGTATTTTTATAAGCATGGATGCCAAGATATATAAGTAAACTCTAAAGAAATAGAGACACATTAAGAACTTAAGGAAGGGTAATGAAGAGAAAGTGTGGGTATTGTCCAGCAAGGACTTCTTCCCTCCTCTATCCTCTTTAAACCCGGATCTTCACAAAGTGCCTTCATGTTAACTATTTGTTGAATATTTGTAGGTCAAGGGGAGCAGACATCCAGCAGCTGACAGCACTCGGTTTGTTTGTGAGGTGTGGTAGACTAGAGTCAAGTTGCCTGATGCTATGAGACTACTGGAGCTGGATTTCACTGGCCTCTGAAATCGGCCAACTCTATTCTCCCCAGTCTGGGACCAGGCTGGCTTAAGGTGCTTCCTGGGAGGCATTTCTGACGGGAAGAGAACACACTGACTGGCTGACATGGCTTCTCCTGGAACAGTCTCAGGGAGGCATGTTCACGACACAGCTTCTGGAGCTGCAAGGCTAAGGACTGTTTTTGGACTCTGGTAACTCCATTAAAGCAATATCACCTTGTAAGACCTTATGATATGGGAAGCTGGCTCATCCACCTAAATAATACTACATTTGGGTAAACAAATGTTTATTTAGTACTATGTATAAGCCAGACATCAAACTAGAGGAGAACGCTGGCTGAATATGTGGCCTATGCTCATACGGAGTTTCCATCACAGAAAACAGCCCCAATCTGTTCCTCTCTAACCCCAATACCTCCATTAAGAAATACCTTTACCATCTTATTCTTAAAACATCACAACTTTTCCAGACCACAATTAAGATTTTTTTTTTTTGTCGGTCGTGGAGCTTGAACTCTGGACTTGGGCACTGTCCCTGTGCTCTTCAGCTCAAGGCAAGCGCTCTACCTCGAGCCACAACGTCACTTCCAGTTTTCTAGTGGTTTACTGGAGATCAGAGTCTCATGGACTTTTCTCCT